AACCCCCCCCCCCGGAGCCATGGCTGTGGCTGCAGATCCCGAGCAGCAAAGCGCCCTCCTGCCTAGACGGGGTCTCCACCCGGCACCTCGCTCCCAAGGAGACTTGCTACCCGACGCCAGGGCAGCGAACCGTCTCGAACTTTAGCCGCTCAGGCTGAAACTCCCCCGCTTGGCGTCTGACTTGTGCTGAACTTGCTCTCACCAAAACTGGTTCCCCATTTCCCAACCACGCTTGAGCAAAGCCCAATCGGCCCGTGTTAAAACACGCTTCGAGCCATTCTGTGCTCTGCAGCAGGGACTAGCAGTGGGAACGAGGAGCCCCCTTTTGCTGCTCCGATATGTCCTAGCCGCAAACGTTCTGCTTCCCTTGCTCCAAGCGTTCACTAGCAGAGTTGGGCTGCCCTGAGCGCGCCAACCTGTGGAGTGTAGGACCTGAACTTGGGAGGGCAAGGTGGGAGAGCGTCTCCCCAGGCTGACGCCAGGCAGCACGGCCAAAGAAACCTGCTGACTCTGCTGCAGAAAGGCCGTGGCTGAACCTGGCATGGGCGTAGCTTGCGGGGGCTGGGCAGCTCAGGGCTTGGCTCCTGGCAGACTGACTTTTTCCTGGGGGTCAGCAGCCCGACCCAAGAGAGGTTCCCCACCCCGACTGAGAGCCAACAGCTTTTGTCAGCAGCGAGTGCCAGAGCAGCAGCTGTCAGCTGGGTGCCACATCCTCCTTCCATCTCAGTCACGCTCACGAACCCGTCCTAAGCGCCTCACTAGTGCCAGCTGCTCGCAGCACACGGAGGTGGGCAGCGCTCTGCCTGGCCAGGACCACTTCCCCAGCTGGGCCTCTGCTGCTCTGCCAGCCAGGTCCCCACTTCCCTAGCGTCTGGCTGCGTGCTCCCGGGGCTCTGGGTGGCTGCTGCATAACAGTGGGGCATGCGCGGCTAAGCAATTCTGTTACAGCGGGCTGGGCTTGCTTGCTAACATTCTGGTTACGATCTAGCTAAGCAGGACTCAGGTGTCACTATATAAACTGGGGTCCCAGAGGAAGTCCAACTCCAGGGCTCAGGCCTGTGCTAGTCCCCCAGGCGCACCTGAGGCCTCCTGGCTGGCGGGAAACGTGACTGTCTTGTTGGAAGGTGAGCCCAGAAGGCAGACTAAGCACAGCCTGGCGAGTAACAAAGGGAGGTCGAGCCGGGAACTACTGCATACAGCTCTCGTGCTGCTCGAACACCCGCAACCCCCGAGTGCAAGGTTCCACCCCAGCCTAAGGAAGAGCAAGGGCAGGTGCCTATACTGAGAGGGTTACACCTGGGCCTAGGAAAGGGTCAGGTAACACTGCCCCAACCCAAAGCTCCCTCTCGCACCTTCACCCCCACCCCAGGAAGAGCCCTCCCTCCCCTACTGCATACAGCTCTCGTGCTGCTCGAACACCCGCAACCCCCGAGTGCAAGGTTCCACCCCAGCCTAAGGAAGAGCAAGGGCAGGTGCCTATACTGAGAGGGTTACACCTGGGCCTAGGAAAGGGTCAGGTAACACTGCCCCAACCCAAAGCTCCCTCTCGCACCTTCACCCCCACCCCAGGAAGAGCCCTCCCTCCCGCAGGGGGAGACTGAGCCACAGAGAGGGGAAATGTGGGGAGGGGGGGAGCAGGAAGGGAGGGGGCAATGTGGGGTGTGGGTGAGGGAGAATATGGGGAGCAGGGGGAACATGGGGAGCAGGGTTTCAGTCACCTTATGTTGCATGTGAGTCTTACACCAACACTGTGTGTACCTCAGTTTCCCTGGGTACTGCACCAAGGCCCAGGTGCTAGAACTGAGAGAGACTTTTACTGAGGCCCTTGGACACACGAGTCTGCGCAGCTACCTGCACACACAAGGTTGTGCCAGAGCCCTTGGTGCCTGAGGCCCAAGAAGGGATGCAAGTAGGACAAACACCAGAGAGGACGCAATGCAGGGCAGCAGCTGGAACAGGGTCAGTCTCAGCTGGCTTCAAGCAGAACAGCTCTGAACTAGGGATGTTAAATGTCGTTAATTGAATAGTCGAGTAACCTGAATTCTTATTGGTTACTCGACTATTCTGTAGCCCCTGGGGGCGGGGCTGGCAGCCAGTGCGCTCCGGCCTCACTCCTGAGGAGCCCCCGCCACGCTGCGCTGCTGTCACTGTATCAGAGGGAGCAGCACAGGGATGCCAGGCGGGAGCTGGTCCACGAGAGGGGCCAGTTTAAAAACCAGCTCCCCTCGCGGACTGGCTGCCTATCACCCTGTGCTGCTGCCTCGGATACAGAGGTAGCAACTCTGGGTGGCTGCAGACCCTGTCCAGGAGCAGGGCTGAGCTCCAGACACGGCGTGGGCCAGGACTGGGCTGGGCTGCCTCCTAATACACTTTAAATGCAGAGCCGCAGTGGGGGTAGGTCCCGGACCTGGTGTGAGCCAGGACTAAGATGGGCTGCTGGCCAGTCTGCTAAAAAATTGACTGCCGGGGCGGGGCGGGGGTGGAGATGAGTGTAATCTATAGCATTAACCTATCAGCTTTTGCTTGTCGGTTACTCGACTCCACTGTTACAGCCTTACTCTGCAGTATGCCCCTGGTGACTGGGACAGAGGGGCTCGGAGAAGGGCAGGGCGGGAGCTTAGCCTTGGGGAAAAGGCAGGACAAAGATGTTCACTCGTGTGGGATTAGAAAGTTGGCAACCCTCCAATGAACTGAAGAAAGGGACACAAACTGGGAGAAGCCTGCTGGGAAGGATCCAGATTACTAGGAAGCTGCTTGCTACTCCACCATAGGAATGTTAAGATGTGGTGAACTGGCTAATCAAGTAGTTAGTAGAATTTGTATTGATTAGTCAGTAAGGGAAGGCAGCCCGGCTCAGTTCTGGCTCGCACCGGTTCGGGACCTACCCCTACTGCAACTTTGCAATGTAAACGTATTAACACAGGGGTGGGCTATAATTTTTGCAGGGGGGGGTCACTTAATGAATTTTGGTATGTGGTCATGTGTTGGCTCCATGCCTGGAAGGGGTGGGGTGGGACCTGGGGTGGAAGAGTGCGGGGCTGAGGACTAGCCTTCCCCCCTCCCAGAATTGTCTGGGGCCAGGGGCTTTGAATTAAACACACAGTGAAAAGCTCCTGGCTTCGCTGCCTGTGGTTGCTGCAGCTATTTAAAGGGCTCACGGCTCTGGCCCCTGCTGGGGTAGCGCCATGGTTGGGAGCCGGAAGCCAGCTCCATAGGATCCTGCTGCCTGAGCCACCGCCTGGAAATTCAGGGGCACAGGCAGCAGGATATGAATAGAAAGAGGCCAGACTGCGGCCGGGGAGCAGGAGTCAGTGCTGGGGGGAGCTGGCTTAAAAGCCAGTTCCCCCCAGCACCATCTCTGTGGGGGCAGGGGAGGTAAGGCACAGCAGGAAACGGCGCAAGCGGAGACTGAAGCACTCTCTGCTCCCACTGGTTCTGCTGTGATCATGCAGGCCTTCCGCTTTTGAACTGTAGCAAGAGCCGGCAGTTCCAAGGTGGAGGCGCCCTTATCGACTACTCGAGTAGTCAATGGAAATCCCATCTGAATTTAACATCCCTCCTGCCCACCTGGCTCTTAGTACATTTAAGCTTCAGAGCTGCAGCAGAGGTAGGTCCCGGACCCAGCGTGAGCCAGGACTGAGTTGGGCTGCCCCGAACAGGGGCTGCTTTGCTGCAGCAGCCCGCATCTGCAGGGAGTGCCAGGGGACAGGGGCAGCTGCTGGAGCAGCCTATGTCCATGGTGGGCCTGGGCTCGCTGCAGACAGAGGCTGCTTTTGCAGCAGCCTTCCCTTGCCCCCACCCCACGCTGCTGCCTGTTACAGAGGCAGCAGCATGGAGTGTGTGGGCAGGCGGCACCATGAAGAAGGTGCTGGGGGAGAGGAACCAGCTTTTAAGCTGGCTACCACCAGCACCAGCTCCCCATCTCTTGCTGCCTCTGATACAGGATTAACCAGTAAGCCCAGGCTTATCAGTTAATCGTGTAGTCAACTACACACTGACATCCCCCCCACAACCTCCTAATGAGAGGCACTGAGTTCAGGAAGCAACCAATCGCCCTGCTGCAATAAGGTCTCCAACTCATCTGAGGGCCTCAGGACATGCAGCAGACTTCAGTGTAATCCTTGCTCCTACCCCCCACCCCCCTGAACACCTCAGGGTCCCAGCTTCCTCCTAGTAAGTACCTGACTTCCACCTCCGGCTTGTTGTGTCTCTCCACCACCTGGGAGGAGAAGTTCTCCAGGCATAGGGCAGCCTGCAGGGTGGCACGCACCGCATTCAGGTAGGGGCGCAGAGTGGCAGTCTGGGGAGAGTAGGGAAATCAGAACAAGGGCAAGAGCCCTGCCCCCCCCCTCGCTCCTCGGAGGAGAAGTTCTCCAGGCATAGGGCAGCCTGCAGGGTGGCACGCACCGCATTCAGGTAGGGGCGCAGAGTGGCAGTCTGGGGAGAGTAGGGAAATCAGAACAAGGGCAAGAGCCCTGCCCCCCCCCTCGCTCCTCACCCCTCCTCTTCCCCTGGCCTGCTCTA